AGAAGAGCTCAGCTTCATGAGTAAGTAAGTAAGTAAGTTATATTTATTCAACCAAATTTTTATATATTTGTATATTTCATATTTATATAGATGTATATTTAATCTAATTTTCATACGTATTATTGGATTAAACTGCCTCAGGCTAGGGCTCTTTGGGCTGTTTTAAAAACAGCAATGTTAATTATTTTAATTATTTCAATACGTTTCAACTATCACTGGGCTATTTATTTTATCGAGTATTCCACATTAAATTAGGACGTGTTATGCTATCTCTGACTCAGGTTAGGGTCCCTTGTCGGGTTTCCTAAACTCAGTGAAGCATTGCGTGTCTTAAAACCTGGGAATGTCATGAACAAGTAAGCGACTAATGCGAGAAATAGTGTGGACCAGAGGGTTAGTATTCCTGCTCGTTTCAGGTTTCACAGGCGTAAATATTTTCAGCATTATTCCATGTTAAAGGAGGTGATTTTCTGAATAGTTAAGCAATTCTGTGAGTCCTTGAAAGGGGCTCTAGTCTATTGAATTAGGAGGTTATTTAGTTTCTTTAAACACGTTTAATTATCTCATGACTTGTTACTTTACTGGTATTTCATATTAAATTTTAAAGCTGTTTCCTATACTTAGCTGATATATTCTAGTCTACAGTTTTACTTGGGTTTCTTTGCTCACGCTTAGATATATGCATTTTTCTGTGACGATAAGTCACTTTGTTACTTAATGACTACGTCAGCAGCGAGGCTGTGTAGCATAGATGATGAGGATGATTGATTAATGCGGAGCGGTTGCTGGAAAGAGAATTGGCAAGGGCGGCCGAAGTACTAGGAAAAACCCTGGCAAAGTGCCACTCTGTCTACCACAAGCTATACGATTTCTTTCGGTAATTATACGAGTAACATTTGGAGTCTACGAAATTTATCAGAAATGGTTGCCTACGACTGCTTGCTCAAAGCTGCAATATATTAATTTTATGAGCTGGATTTAAAACAATTACGCGTGATTTTATTTATCGTTTTAATTAAGTATTATTATAAACGTTATATCTTTTATTACTCCAAGACAATAATGTATGTTTATAAATCTCATTTCTTTACGGTTTGTTTTCCTCGTGGAATAATTTTACTGGAATCTGGTTAATACATTTAATTCCTCAACATGGGTTTCAGTTTAATGTCAACCAAAATCTTATATTAGTGGCTCAGCGGTATGCACGTGTCTGCACAACTCCGCTAATCCCACATACAGATTAAAGTATTTAAAATAATCAGCGATGTCTGAAAACACATAAGTGGATTAACATTTTCATCCCTGTCTGTGTCATTCTAGTTTAATACTGGTTCAAATAGTACTTTCGCTTTAAAAAATTCTTCTTTTGTTTAAGATTTGAATCAATGTTTTGTGTTTTAATTTTAGATACATACACTAAATAAATGTGCATTTCATGCAATTTTAAATTAGCCTTTTAAGGCACGATGTTTATTAACATCATCTACTTTAATAATAAAAGCTTTATTTATTTGTGTATCATGTTATTCTGAGAATAAATAGTGGCCACTTCTCTGACAAACATTAAGAGGTTGGTCTTGGTGATGGAAATGCAGAATCTTTTCTTGGGATGGGAATTTAATTTTTAAATATTATTTTAATGAGCTTAATGTTTCAAAGGGATTAATAAACATTTATGCCAAATTGTCTTGATAATATAAAATGCTTCCCAATTTTAAAATTTGAATTATTAATGGGAAGATTGGAGAACCAAAGAATGCAACATATTTCTTCTTTAAAATATTTCCTGGACGAGGTTCAATACTTATATGTCTAGATTCTAAAGGCTCCTGGCCATGGTGGATAACACTCAGAATTACTGTCTTTTCGGGCATTGTTTATAATCCGGTATTCTAAAAACTAAACGTGTCGGAAACTGGATCTGTGTCCGTCCTCAGGTGAAGGGGGAGACGCAGAGCTATCCTCAATCACTGGTCCAACTGGGACCCAAAAGAGTAAGTGTCCCCCTCTAACCCGAAGACGGAAACAGATCCAGTTTCCGGAACGTTGTGTTTTCTAGTTGTTTAGAACACCAGACGCTGGACGAAGTCCAAAAACCAATAATTCTGACCTATAGATCTACCTATTCGCTCTCTTCCCCTCTTTTGCTTTCCGCTAGAAATGCCTAAATGCGAAAAAGAAAATTCTCATCAGACACGGATCTTATAATCGAAAATTCCAAAATATATCCACATAAATGAGTTAGTCTCGCTATAAAAATTATGGATAAAAATTTGTATTTGTATTTATGTGCCGAATCAACACCTACGAATCCAATGACAGAACAGCACAACATATGTACAAATAATTACACTACATAGTAAGGGCTGGAACACAAACAGCGACATCGGTCGCACGACGTCCGTACGGTTCATGACGCATCAAGTAGTAGAATATAAAGTGTAGTAGTCTTAGCTTTCATACGTGACGACATACGACATATCCCGTACGACAGTCGGAGAGCAAAGAAATGTATTTGGTGGCTCTAGTGTCAAAAGGAGGTCGTACGGCAAAAAAAAAACGTTCGACATTTTTCCGTGCGACCGATGTCGCTGTGTGTGTTCCTACCCTAAGAAAGACGTAAAGACGACAGCCACAAGGCTAATATATATGTTATAATGAAAATAAATCATTCTTTTGCCTGTGCTTCCGAGGTAAGAACCCATAGGAGAAGCACAACCATATTAAATCTAACAAAATATACTTTCATGTATTTCACTGTACACTTCTTATGGACATTTTCACAAAATCGTGGAATCTAACACGCTTCCAAAACTGAACACTTCTTTGTGTTACTTCAAAGAGATCCGCTAAACTCGTGGATCCCTTAACCAAATTTAAAAATACAAATGTTTTGAAATAGTAAATCATTCCATACAGAATGAACTTCCGAAACTTCTGAGATTAAATCCTTTTCATTTTGATGGCCAAATTACGACATAATTATCGGAAGGCTACGAGGGTATAAAAAGTTCTGTTCTCTGCAATATACAATATATATAACGCCTTGTGGTTCATACAAAGTCACCTCTGTTTGATACTTTTTTTTTTTTTTTTTTAGTAGGGGGTACAGTCCAACTGGGTCCACTCGGCACGGCGGCCACTGATTCGCCTATTGTACCTGCCCCGGGTGATTATGATGATGGAGAATTTGGTGGAATGAAGATTGGTAGGGGAAACCGAAGTACTCGGAGAAAACCTACCCCAGCGCCACTTTGTCCATCATAAATCCCACTTGACCAGACCCGGGATCGAACCCGGGCCGCCGCGGTGGAAAGCCAGCGACTAACCGCTTGAGCTATGGCGCGGCCATGGTTCATGTTGGTCTTTTGTTTGGCTCTAAAGTGATTAAGGAGAAGAGGTTTCTCTCCAGACACGTCAACGGCCCCGCAACCAACGTTAGCAGCTGAATCTCATCTAACAGAAGGAGCATTTTGCTTGCGGGGCAGACATTGAAATAGCAAAGCCTCTGAAGTACTCGACAGGCGCTTGGAAAATAGTCTCCAGAAAAGACGGACAATATTTAAAGTCAAGATAAACTTGAAGAAGGAATAATAATAATAATAATAATAATCCCATTCTTTTTTATTTATGTGCCGAGTCAACAGCCGCAAGGCCAATTACAGACAGAGCACAGTGTAGGTACAAGTAATTACATTATGGACAATCACAGCATAAAGTCAAAGACAAATTACAGGCAAGCACTCGAGGAAAAACGCATTAGTGCAGACAAGTAAACAAACAAACAACAACAACAACATAATAATAATAATAATAATAATAATAATTTCATTAACATAAATCAATAATGCAGACAAGTAATATTAATAATAATAAATTGTTATCCAAAAAATTGAATGCAATAAAACACTTTAAAGACATAGTCGTCGATGAGATGATAATATTAAAACGGATTTAAATTAAAGAGCATATATATATGTGTATGTGTGTGTGGGCTAAGATCATCTTGCTCATGATACAGATCAGTAATTATCTCTTAAAGACAAGGAAATGGACTTCAGGTTTGTATAGAAGTCGGTTAATTTCTTCAGTAAATGAGCTACCATTAACATCGGAAGCAGAGCTCTTCTCCATGAAGTTTATTTCATTATAGAGGTAACTTTAACTGGGTACAAAATTCATATTATTTATTATCTGGGTACTCAACTTCGCACTGAGGAAAATTTTACGGTCGCATAAACCAACAGCGGGATCTGTAAGTGAATGGACACCTTCAAACGACCATTCCATATCGAATCTCCGAGCTGCTACAGGTGTCACTTTGCAAGTGACGTGCAGACTGAAACATTTGTAAGTATATTAAGCACTGTTTGTGCTCACATATGAAGAGAACGGTAAGGACGCTCTGTAAGTTCCCTTGATCAATGCTACAAACGACGGGTCCCGTGCAAATCGAAGTGAGCATGCGTAGTTCATTTGCTTTGGTCCATATACTCAGGCTGACGGAAGCAGTACCTATCATGGCGCCATTATGTCAATATTTCGGATGCGCCCACAGCGGCAATGTTTGTTATGAACACAGAATGTTCTCATAGTTGTGGAGCTGTGGATGCGATTCTGGAAACACGTGGAATTTAATTATAAGATTGGTAAGTAAAGGAATATGTTTTATGCTTACTATTCTGTACGCTGGTAACTACAAGTAGCCTATAATTTCCAGGCACGCGGTCCGAACGAACGGAACTCAATATGTGTGAGTGCTCTGTTTCTGTTCTCCAGGTACAAAATCTTTTTGGTTGAAACTTTCCTGTACAGTACTTACATTTAGTAAGTTCTTGTGTTTTAGATAGAAACAGTAAATAAGACCGAAAAATAATGACAAGTCTAGGAACCTGGATAAGAATTATAAAAGACAAGCCCGTCCAATGCGACTATTTCAGTTTTCTCACTTGATGACTTACTAGTGAGAAAACTGAAATAGTCACGTTGGACGCACTTGTCTTTTATAATTGTAACTGTTAGTGTGACGGACCAAATGAAACAAATCAAATTGGATTAGAATAATAACAATAAGTTTGCAACTAATAAATGAAGCATGAATTCAGAAACTGATTTTCCTCAGTACCTCCAGACAAATACCAGGATAGAACCTCGATTATTCCACGATCGCTTCCTTTCAAATACCGTCCCATTAATTTATCGTCCTTCCATTTCACGTTACATGGTTGCTAAGATCGTCGTTAAACAACCCATACGAAAGAACTCATATAGATGCTACACTTTTTTCTAGGTGTCAAGGAATCAGGATGAGGGTTAGTAGTTGCTGTTGCTGCTTCTCGCTTAAGACAGGATGCATAATCATTTCCGTGTATTACATGGTGAGTAAGCACCCCGCGGCACATCCCGCACACTGTCACGTACTTCGCCGAGTTGCATACAACACCGCCACACAGACAGGCATGCAACCAGCAAAACAGCAATCCATACGTTGCTTGACTTAACCAACAGTAGAAATGAAGACAGCGGTTGTATTTCTCTACTTATGCAACAAGAACTTGTAAATTTGTTTGAACTGACACTAAATACGAGTAATTATTTTTAACATAGTAAATTTATTTTGATTGCATTAACATCTTTCTCTCAGTTTCTATAGTCAGTGGAAGTTCCTTTACGACGACTTAAGTTGCTACGGCTTTTGATAATGACCAGTAAAGGTAAAGGTGTCCCTCTACTTAACTAATTAAGCACTGCGCCATTAAGGCATATGGGGGAGTGGATGTAAAGCTCCACATTTTCTTTACTTCGGAACTTGTTAGTGCGTAGTCAGCTTCACTACCCAGCCGCTTTATCCCCGGTACCTATTGCATAAGAGGGTGGGTGGGCCCAGAACCAGTCTGCACGATTTGGAGAGAAGGAAAACCTTGCCCGTACCTGACCTCAAACTCTGATTTCTCGGGCGTCCATCCAGGAGGTGGTCGCTATACCTACTGCGCTAGTAGCGGCCGAAACATGCAAGTGAAAATTTTTACATTCCTCTAGTAAAATTGTTACACTTGATGGACTTTACTCATTTTTTCATGTGGTGATCCTCTGTCTGTTGACTGATATTGTATATCTTCTGCACATTTCACCAATTCATTCGATGTTTCTTATTGCTACTGCTTACCATTTGTTACTATATTAATTAAATCTGTTTATAGAGAAGGGCTATTGGCTGGGCATCCGAGGAAATGAAGTCTTATTCCCAGTTGGGGCGAGAGATCATTTTCTTCACCATCGCTTCCAGACCGGCTCTGGGACTCACCGGCTTACTGTTTAGTGAGTACAGGGGCCTATTTCCGCGGATATTTAAATAACTAAGCACAGAAAATGTTTAAATTTCGAACAGTGAAATGAACTGGACTTGTTATATGGTTGAAAAAAATTGAAAATAAATTCTAGTTCGCGGATCCGAGGGAAAGACTGTACTTGTGAAGGTATTGCCTATCCTGTAAAGGCAAAATCCGACCCAATGCTTAATTAAGCACCACACCATGAAGATGTAAATAAGAGAGGATTTATAACGCCAGGAATTCTTATCCTCGGCACTAGCTGCATGTGAGTGATTAACGAAGCGCTCCGGCACTTGATCCCCGGAGGAAAGGCCCATATGCTCCTTAGATCTGAGGCTGTGTGGGCCCCAAATCCGGTCTGGACGCTGTGGATGATCAAGTGTAGACATTTTGTCGACACGGCCATTTACCATAGTTTCCTGCCATCTGTTGTGCAAACATTGAACTCCATGTGAGGGTGGAGGTTCTCATACCCCTGGGTATCATAACACGATATTCTGGGAAGTGTTGCAGCGTACATTGAAAGATTTGTCCCACCGCTTCACTGCAAATTACTGTCACCTTCTTCAGAGCATAGGGGCAATCAACTCATATAACAAATAGGCATTCTTTACAGCACCAACCGTATCAGTAGCAGCAGAAGCAACAGCAACAACAACAACAACGACTACGACGAAGGAAATAAATGAAGTTCAAAAATATATCACAGTTGCGCAACAGTTCCTTTCACAATTGGTTACTGATGTGGTTACAGATTTTGTCTCTGCTACTTCTCGTATCATCCTCTATGGACCTGTATGATATACTCATCACGGACGAGGCTGACGTCAAAAAGGATGATGAAAAAATGAACGATCCTGTCGTAAGAGGTAATTTTCTTTCCTCCGCTCTTTGTACTTCGTTACACGTCGCAGATCGAAACTTCCATAGATCGATATGGAGATATTTAGTAAAATTATTTATGCTAGCAATCACAAAAGTACGTTATAAGTAGTTTGAAAATGTATTTTATTTTATCCAAGAATCGTAACTGTTGACTACACGATCAATAAATATTTTTAGGAGAATTAAACACCGGAAGTGCTTGCCTTATATTCACCTCTTGTTTATAAATATTTGAGAGTTAATTTGTTCAGAACAACTGTTTCCACTTTGTTCTGCATGAATATGAAACAGCGTGTCTTACTATACGAGAAAAGCATAAAATTGAAGCAGGCCTACCGTAAAACAGGAAAGTAAGATATTTGAACCTAGTACTTATAAGTAAATAGAAAATGGCCTGCAACAATATGGTTGATGACCTTTGTTGTCCATCAGATAAAAATGCTGAGTAATACGTGCATAATTAAAACACAAATCTATCTCCTACTTGATAGTAACTGATGAACCTTAATTTATTAAGAAGGCTAATGTCATAGGCACGAAAATTGTACAGAGTATCTGTGAATACCCCGAAGATTATCTTCTAAGAACTGATGGCGTGGAGTCTAGAGAGTACAGCCCTCCTAAATATCGGTAAACATAAACCAGAATGCACTGTGTCACATCTCAGAAGACAGTAGTTTCCGTATCCGGCTCAGATCTAACAAGTGAATATGTGGTACGTATTGGTTTTGTTATAATTTGTAATTTAGTTTTAAGTAAACATTTTGCTTACTTGCAGGAATGTTATGGACCTTCTTGGCAGTAATTGGCCTGCACATCCTCATGAGCTTCGTGCTCTTAGTGGGAGCAATGAAGGTTTGTATGACTCAGTGTGTTGGTCAGATCTCTGCTGACATCTGTGAGTAGATTTCATTGCAGGTTTCACGATTCTAAATGAAATGTAATAATTCATATTGTAATTTGATCATCATCATCATCATCATCATCATCATCATCATCACCAACGTCGTCATCTATGTGTCAGCGAACTGGACAATTTGATCCATTGCAGCCTAATTAATTCAGTGATCTCTTCAAGGGACTTCTCAAGTTCTGCATCCGCGTGGATTGAATTTCTTTAATATTGTCACATGGTTCAGTGACTAAGATGAGGGTTTGGATTGGTGAATCGGTTCACTGGATCTTCACTAGTCGTAACTACAATTAGTTCTTACACTCTCAAGATTACTGTAACTACAGCACATGTAACGTCACTCACTCAAGTATTCTGATCCTGCTTCTGGCCACACTGCTTTTCTTTTGGAACTTCGGAACTCAAGTGAAGTCAATTCCCATACCCGTATTTTCTGATAACCTCTGTGCACGGACCACACACAGAAAATAATTTTACTGTTGCGTAGCGCAGACCATACAGAAACCAGGTCACGTGATAACTATCTCGCCAGTCCATTGAAGCCTTGACTGTTGCCTATCAGCGAGCTATAAGCATTCGTGCTATTGTTGAGTGACCTTTAGTGAGGTGTCTAAAGTGCCGTTGCCTAACTATACACGTCACAATATCCTCAGATATATGTCTCTACGCACTTCTGTCGAAATGCTGAATTGTGGTCAAATTTTTATTCCTTCTTCATTTAATCTTTGTATTTAATTTTTATTTATGTACTTTACTGTTCGCCCGTAACAGGTGACTGTTGATAGCAAACATTCTAAAATGAATGTGATTTTTATTATTACAATTGTTAGTAACATAGTTAATTTCAAATAACATTATTTGATTTTACTTTTTTCTTGTTTTAGACCGCATGTTTATTTGTACTGTACTTGTTCTGTAATTTTGTTGACTCTGCAGTTGACCCCTAGCTCTTAAGTACAGGAATTAAATAGAAAATTAATGGAATTTAATCAAATATTGCCAGTTAGAAATAAGTAAGACAAATGTTGAAGGAAAGTTTACAGTCAGCAATACGCCATTGATTTACAGTAAACAATGAAGCTGATTGTTCGTCTTCATTATCCGTTATCCATCACAATGTTTCTGAATTTGTCAGTCGCCATATCCAGTGAAATATTTTTCGTTTAGAAATGAGTCTCCAAATGGGAGCTGTTAGAACAAGAAACAAGAAATATTTTTCTGATTCGCAGGAAATTCCGGCCATGATACTGCTCTGGTGTATAGCCAACACCGTCTTCCTGGTGGCCGTCGTCTCAGGAATGTCCGTGAGACTATTCTTGGATCCAAGAAAATTCATGGCGTCGATTGGAAAAAGAATCTTCAGTATAAGTATATATTATTACCTGAAACTGAAATTAACTTTATTATGTTATATATGTTTTGCTTCTATATTTTTAAACTTTTAATTCCTAACATATTTGTCTTGGCACAAAACTTATTAATTAGCTGTGATATTGCACTGATTTCTCCTTTCAAACATTCTTCTTTACCAGTGGTTCTCAACCTTTGTCAACCCGCAGCCCGGTAAATTCTTTTTTTTTTTTTTCTATAAGAAGAGGGCCCGATACCGGGCCGCGGCCTGGCCGTTGAGAAACACTGTTTTATTATACAATAAAATCGTAAAGCCCCTGTAAAAATGAGTGCGCAGAGGCTGGTTACTAGTAGTACTAATTCGTCCGGTAGGTGGCTCTGCCAGCAGTGGTCTTTGTCGTCGGCTCTCATCCTTTCTCATGAAAAATGGTTATTTAGAAGAGCACTTGAAAACTGTATTTTCTTTCTTTTCAAAATTAGTTCTCATGAATATATTCTAGAAGATGGAACCCTTCATATCCTCCTCTATGAGCACCTCAAGCTATACATTTATTATAAGATTTGAGATTCTTAAACAAGTGGTTACTAAATGCCGTCTTCATGGGCTGACGCCGTGTAGAATGTTACAGAAGTAGCTCTCTACTAAGTTACAGTTTTAAAAACAACCACAAGTTCAGAATTAGGCCAACTTGAAATGCCAAACACAGAACTGGCTGGCAGCGAATACAATTTCCTACAATGCGTTCATGTTAAAAAAATGGAATTAACATAAAATAGGAGGTCGTGCCATAGCTCAAGCGGTTAGTCGCTGGCTTCCCACAGCGGCGGCCCCGGTTCGATCCCGGGTCTGGTCAAGTGGGATTTGTAGTGGACAAAGTGGCGCTGGGGCAGGTTTTCTCCGAGTACTTCGGTTTCCCCTGCCAATCTTCATTCCACAAATTGCTCCACAATCACCCTCACCTATTATCTTGGGCTGGTACAATATGCCAGAAGTGGCCGCAGTACAAGGGACTTAGTCCCACCCCACTAGCAATAAAAAAACATAAAATAATCATATCACTGAATTCTGTAAAAACCTTCCCAAACAGTTCTCAAGGTGAGAGCGTTTAACGACGCCAATTTGAAAATGTGGATTTTCAAAATGTGTTTTCACGTGAGGTTCCTATTGCAGAGAGAATTCTGAACAGGACAGTTTACCCCACAAGATAATACTTTCCATAAGGCGTTCTGTAAAACCTAGCCTAAAGACTGTAAGATAATTATGTTAACTATAATTAATATAAATATTACCGCGAAATGGCGTGCTCTCGCCCTGCAGATGGAGCAATTGGAGGAGACGACATCCAGACACTGAGGATAGCTCTGAACCATTAATCACAATATACAAAGTCTTGTAGAGAAGAACCCCGATTATCCGACTTAAACGGGACCGATAGGTCAAAATGCATGAATAATAATACAGTATAATTTAATGGAAGTCTAGTATAAGTAAGAAACCAGGTTTTCTTAATAGTTATTCTATAGTAAAACTAACATAATACAGTTAAGAACTATTATTTAAAGAAATGAATCCCAATCAAATAAACTGAACAAATTTCCGTTAGCCCTGCAAGTCATATAAGGAAAGAGAAAGGGAAGCCAGTGATCGGGGGTATAAGTAAATCACCCTGTCACTTGGGGGGGACATAAATACAGAGACCTGGTCCTGCGGGTTGGGGTTGGACGCAAGGCTGACCACTTTGTTCTGTAAAATATTTCTCACGAAATCCAAAGACGTGAAATACATATGCAATCTGGCAGAATTTTCTAAGGAAGGCTATGGCCCAAAAAGGAGTGACTGTCTTGCCAAGATGACGATGTTGTTGATAATGATTAAGAATGGATTTAAAGTTAACTAAATCCAGCGCAACACTGAAGATAGCAGATCCGATGGCTATATCGGACAATAGGAACAGTTATCCATTTAGAAACCACTGGGAGTAATTGTAATTATTTATTTGTTGTGTGTGTTCACAGTCGTGGGCATCTATTTTCTGATAGTGGTGAAGAGTTTCCACAGAGACCTGAAGGAAAGACAGGCCAACAATGCCGAGCCAGTTTGAAAGGGGAAGAAACAAGGTATAACCCCGTGTGGCTTCATATGTGTACAACATAAGTGTAATGTGTTCAAGAAATATTTTTGTAGAATTCTGACCTATAGAGAAGCCTAGATGAACTGGACCGAATATACATGGACTAGGCTATGGGCTCGACGACCGACTGATCCATGGATTTTCGAGTCCCGGGATGGGCATGAAATTTTCCCCTTATATTTCATTTTGAAGACCGTCTATGGGGCCCACCTTGGCTCCTCTTCGATGGCTACTTGGGTTGTGCCCTATGGACACCATCAGATATTTTCTTAACGGGGAGACAGCCAGAAAAGTTGTTGGGTTTTAAGTCCTCCCGAAGGCGGCTGTGAAGATTACGGTTTCGTGGGTTGTAACGCCACATAATTCGGTGGAGTGTACAGCCTCCATCTTCAGGGTGAAATTGTAAGCCAAATAAGAAACCAGCAGAAGCAGGCGGTAACCATGCCGGGATGTCTCCGAACCACACGAGGTTGACAACCCCGAAAATCGTAATCTTCACAGCTGGAAATTTGCTTATAAGCTTATATTTGTTGTTTAAGAACATGCTTACTGATCGATGATTTTGTGCAGAATGAGGTTAGCACTTCCTAACGAGTCCGAAAGACTAGGTGTCTTCCAGTCACTCACACGAGGACGGATACATAAACAGTTTCCGAAACGTTCTGTTCTTTATAATCTGTAGTGTTCGAAGATGATTAAGAACGGTAAATCAAGAAAGCAAGGGAACAGAAGTGGCATAATTTAGCATTTTATAGGGCGAAGTGTTGAGAGGATTGAAGGAAAGACATACGAAGCCGACGGGCGACAACGTAATACTGCAGTTTCATGTACGTATAAACATTACCAATTCCCTTAGCAGTGCGCCCTAATGAATGTCCATGAAAGAGAATTGTTAATTCATTTTTGGTAATAGGTTTTGCTATTTTCGCGCGGAATTATAATTTGCCGATTAATTGTGAAATTTATAAATTCTATAGGGAACTTAGTGGTCTCCAGAGTAAGGGATCTGATTTCGATGAATATCAATTAGACGGGCTGCCTGAGAATCACACAATAAGCAGCTTGGGTGTTACATATCCTTTGCTTCAAGATAAATGGAAACCAAAAATCCCTTCTTAAGATGGCCAGTCGCAGGACTTTCCTGATACACGTATATACCGACATCTGGCCACCGCTCCAGTAATTAAAAAGGTTTCCCTAACAACGTACTGGTATTTTCTTTGTGTAAAAATGTACGTTGCTTAAAACAATATACGATTTAAAATAATACGTTGGTTATGGAATTGTGAAGCTGTTAGAAAATATTTCAAGATTGTATTCGAACTTCCGAGAGATTACATCATATCACCATTACAAACATTAATCGGTTAAAAATATTTGGGGCAACGATCGCTTTCTATTCGAAGGTTCCGGTCTAATATCACACCTATCAATACAAATGATAAACCATATGGCACACACAGTTACCATTGTATATAGCGGCGTTATTTGGAGGAACTGAGGAAAGACAAAGAACAGTACTTTCAAGATATCCGGCTATGATTCCTTGGGAAAGTAAATAGTATGGTACCAAGCAGGGATTATTAAGTGTTCCATAGCTCTTTCCTTGGGGATAAAACGGCCGGGGCGTAAAGCTGGCCACTAACCCCCGTCTAGTGCCGAAGTCAAGAATGCTGGAGTCATACCTCCACCCCCACACGTCTTAATGACGTAGTGCTTAATTAATGAAGCACAGGGACAACTTAAATTGCCCGTTAAGGATGTGTGGAAGTCCTTGTTGTGTCAAAACAAATTGTAAACTTCTAACATGGTCGTGTCTTTAGGAACTATTTTCACGTCCAAATTTTTCGTCGTGTAGCCTCAAACACACTGGGTCCATCATTAAAACTATCATACATTTGCCATTTTAGCAATATCTGGTTAATGGCAGGAAGAACATATCTGTGGGCACAGTGCCATTTGTACATACAATTTTGAAAATACGTAATGGAGTAGCGTGTTCTTATTTTAAGAAAGATAAATCGATCTTCTCTTCATATTAAGCAACTAAACAGACAATAATTGTTTATCAAAGTTTTAATATTATATATAGTCTATATGGTTCTTTCCCATATATTAGGAACAAGCAAGGAGAAAATAAATTCCAGTACTCTCCACGATTTGTATTCATAGAAACAGAAGTAACAATTTTGTTAAATAAACAGGTATATTCTGTATTTCGTTTGTTTTATCACCTCACAATCACAATGTTCCCAGCATTCTGACTGACATGACCTGTACCTATAAGTGTATTGTCTGTTGGAGTACATATGTCAGCAGGGAAAGGCGTACAGAGCTGACATTAGAACGAAGGAGTGGGGAACTGCTCCCAATATCTTATGGAACCCATAGATTAATTCCTGCGTAAGCAAGGGTACTCAACCCCCCTCTCTACTTAGCCACATCAATTCGGTCTATAGCACACCATCCTGTCTCTCTAAGCTGCATTTTAATAATATCCCCCCCCCCTACCTCTAGGTCTTCTAGTGGTCTTCTTCCTTCCGACTTTCCGAACAAAATCGTATATGCGTTTATACCCCCACCCCCTTGCGTGCTAAGTGCCCAGCTCACCTCATCCTCCTACACTTGATCATTCTAGTTACATTTTGCGAAGAGTACAAGTTATGAAGTTCTTCATTATGTAGTTTTCTACAACCTCCTATCACTTTGTACCTCCTCGGTCCAAATATTCTCCTCAGCGCCCTGTTCTCGAACAACCATAGGACCCAAGTTATTACATAGAATGTGGGAAGTGTTGTTTGTGGTTGTTGCCTTTTCTGCAGACACAGAAAATGCACGCAGTAGGCTTCCTCAGTCTGTATCTTGGGTTTCGAATCAGGTCAGTTTCTGTAAAGTTGAAACTATGTCTGGACTAACTGGAGTGGACATACACGAAAAGATTTAGTGCAACCGGTCTTAGGCATAAGTACGAACCCGGGATCTCCCGTACAGGAAGCTCGAGTGCTGCTCACGTCCAGCAACGTTCCCTCTGGAGAACTGGAAGCAGTAGCTGAATGTCCTATCGTTACAGTTCCCGCCGCTAGTTGTCCTCAGGTCTGTTATCATTTTGTTAGCCCAAACAGAGATGTCACTGCAGTGAACAGGAAATATCTAGTCACTATTGAAAGCCTTGTTGCGCATGTCTCGAGGGATCGATTGAGAGGAGGGCGTTCATGTTTCAAAAGCGAGATTACCCCCCAGATTCAGCTTCCCCTTGAAAGAAAAAGGAAAATGAAAATAAAATGAGGTAAGATTTGTAGACTGTATGAATGTTATATAAAATACTTTGAACACAATTATTTATGCTGACAGAATCCTGCAAAAAGAATGTTTTTTGTTTATATAAAACTCAAAATTGCTTGTTTTCATCCACAAATAAAATGTGTAAATTTTTTGTGTCAGTGCTGCAAAATCATTTCGTATATTGTACATGGTTATGCTATTATTTCGGGCCGTTATCATGGGTAAAACTGATAAAGGTAAATTTATATCTGTGTTTAATTAAGCACTATGCCATGAAGATATAAGGGGGAGTGGAGATATAGCTCCACCGTTCTTGATCCCAGCACTAGTTTGATATGAACTGTCAGCTTCCAGACCGTCTTCTTTATCCTTAGGGAAAGAGCTCCGGGTGTCCACTGGACAGGAGGCTGAGTGGGCCCCAGAGCCTGACTGGACGACGTGGAGAGGAGAAAATTCTTGCTCCTATTGGAATTCAAACTCCCACCTCTCCGTCGCCAATCCCGAGGTCAGTAGCTGTATCGATCGCATTATCCCGGCTTCTCATTCGACGTTTCATGGTCTGAGCTCTTACCGATGCCATCAATAAATAAACCGCAAATAAGATAAAATGAAGCGTTGCACAAAGCGCAAAAAGGGATATTCTAGAAGGGTACAATTGTTACAGTGGAATGGGAAAAGAAAAGAGGGCTGGAGATTTCTGAAAAATAATTAATTAAATAACGTACCTGAAAACATCCTTTTTTTTTTTGCAGTTCCGTTGCTGTAATTATTGAAACGAAGCAAATATTCTTGAAGCAGTATACTTGTATTTGCTTTAATTTTTTTAAGGTTCTATTGCTTTTGTTTTACAGGAATCACGTGCCTATATGTTCGCCAGTTTAGTGTTCCCGTACCTCTGCTGAAGACATGTAGTGGATGCTGGTCGGCGAAGCTAGGTGCAGCAGTCCTAGTCATTGCGCATTCGTTAGGTAAATCATCAAACAAGTGACGATAAGCAGCCCACAGTCGATTAGCTACAGACCGTACTCTCCTCTCAGCACACGTTTGGGTCCGAAGTGATGCACACTGCTCGTGCTTCACGTGAGATAGTATTTCTGAAGGTACATTATTCCTTGAGAAGGCAATCTTATGGAAAGAAAGTCTTATGTGAAAACGTTCTGTTTTCTGGGATACCAGGCCATGTAGTTCGTTGAAGGTCAACAAAGGTTTTATAACCCGGGATACAGAACTCTTCATAACCCCGGGTGGGAGAATCTCAAACCCTGAAACTAGTCTTGTGTGTCCAGATAGATCCCGGATTTGGGTACCTGTCTTATGCTGAAATGTTCGTAGAATTTAGTAACTTTCTATTGATGATAAAAACATCTGTCACTAGCTAATGATGCCGATCCCTCAAAAATATTTAGATAAAAAATGCAATTAATGTGACACTACTCAAATTAATAATTTGATATACACGTAGAACATGTAGCGACATTGAGTTATAAAAGGGCACGTCTATAGGACGACAAAAAATACGCGATTTACGTAACCCTTAACTACATATTTCTTAACTGCAACAACCTGAAACCCGAGGGGGGTTGTAGTTCGATCATTGTAGGGTAGGGCTGTCGATATGGGAAAATAGATTGGATTCCTGGCAAAGGCAAATAAATTCTTTTGCCACCAGACCGATTCTGGGATTCATCACTCTTAATCCAATGGAAACCAAGGGCTCTTTCAATGTCGGTAGTTTGGCTGAGCGTGAAGGTGAAACTCGCCTTTATCAGTTTGCCGAAGCAATGTGTCCACTTACTCTAACGTCTTCATGAAGTGGTGTTTAATTAAGCACACCAATAACTTTACCTCTTGGCCTATATTGCAACGACTAAAATACGTTTCTCTGATGACCTTGTCTCTAAAACATTACTAATAATCATCACCGTGAAATAATGTTCTTCTCGAGAAGCTAATAGTCGCTAAGTTAGTCAAGATATAGCTCAACCTTATATAATCCCCAGCTTATAATAACCCGGTATTTATTATATCCTGAGAAATATTAATCCAATACATAATTTTGCATTACATTGCTCTAAGGTCCATTTTATTGCTCTCCCATCTATGGCTAGGGTTTCCAAGTGATCTCTTCACTTAAGTTTGTCCGACTGAAATTCTACATTCATTCAATCTATTCTATGCGTGCTACACGTAGATATTCAGCCCATCTCCCTTTCTTTAATGACATCTGACGAGTACAAATTATTAATCTCCTGGTATTGTAAACTTCTTCCGTCTCCTGTTACTTCCTCCTCCTTAGAACTAAATATGGCACCCTGTTCTCAAAAACCTCAATCTCTTACCATCCAACAGCAGGTTGAGAGACCAAGTTTCACACCCGTACCAATTAACAGTACAATTACAGTTCCGTTGATTTTAATGCGCAT